TTACACTGAGCTAATACGCCTGCCAACAGGTGCCAGAACCCAAGCTAAATGATATCAATATTATGCTTGATTGGTGTCCGTTGAGGTTATGGAATGGTAAAAGTTGGCCAGCTATGCTTTGAGCAGGGTGTGCAATCCAGTAACTCTATCCGATTGGAGCACATAGGATATCTTCTCCTGACGTTGGCGAAAGAAAAATCGAAGTAACAATTACTTGGCACCTTCAAGATTGTTAACTTTGAAAAACAAAATAGTGATTTCCATTACCTATCCACCTTAGAAAAAGGTTGTGAGTAAACTTCCAAATATTTGACACAGTGATCCACCTACCCCTGGCAATAACACAAATATAAGTAAGGAGTGGTGATGTGGACATCCACGGAAGTAGGCGCACTCGGAGTGCGGTCAATATGGTCCCACACATGGATCCAGGGGATCAATTCAAAATGTGAATCAACTGTTTATAGGAATATGGGAAATCAATTTTGGCATTATTTAAACCTCATCATTTGACATCTTACAAGTTGCGTTATTCAAAACTTGAACCACAGTGTGCAGTATTTATTAAAACAGGTTAAACTCGATAATCTGTTTGCAGTTTGATCACTCACTTTCATTATTTTGAAATCACACTTAAATTTAACCTTTTATTATTATTATTATTATTATTATTATTTTAGCTTGTATAATTCGACCGGTAAAATAGTCCTTGATAACGCATTGGCAAACATCCAAGCAAAAAGATATGCAGGTACTGCTGATGAACCGAATCGAGATTGCTCGGATTCCATAATTGGAACATGAGAAATTGATAGCGAAATTGCAATCAAGGCGATAATGCTTGAAACGTTGGAAGAAAAAGTTTTCATTTTCCCAATATATTTTGAGGAGAATCGTATTGACTCAAATGTTGGCATCCTGATGATGAAAGTTCGATATTTGTTTATTTGACGAACTTTGTCTCCTATTGAAGAAATGATATCTAGAAATTGTTTAGTCGACGCCCATAATGATGGCAGTGGGGGAGTAACGGTAAATCCGCCTCTCTCTCTCCCTCCGTCCCCACTGTGCAAATTTTCACATTTCTGTGTCCTTTTTCGTGGTGACTCAATCTATCAAATGGGATTGAAAATTTCTTGAGCCTCTTAATGGATTTTCTAAAGCTATAACCCCGGTTTGCATTAATTGATACCTCAAATGAATTCCACATATCAGGTATTTTCGTATTAAGACACAATGATAGAGTGATTATTTGATTGGCCTAGAGGGGAGAGAAGTAAGGGAATAAAAGTCGAGCGTGTGCATCTACAGCCTTGTATTCGATTTCAATTTTATTTTGGGAACCAACCACCGAAACTGCCCTCATACAAACTTAGAAGTCAGATTTAACAATATCTTAGTCCAATGCAGTGGTAATTTGGATCAAAATTTCCAAGTCTCATTCAGTTCCAGTTCATATATATCAGTTGGTTCAAAACTTAATATTTAGTTTGCACAATGTTATTCATTAAACTTTCCGATTGGTTTCTTTAATTCGCCAATAATGTCTCAGGTAGTATGTGGAGTGAAGTTTAACACATTGAAGCATTAACGTTTTCCTTGTATTAAACTCTAAATCTTTCAGCAAACACTCTGAATTCGTTTAAATAGTCGTGATCTCCAATGTTTTAGGCCTTCGCTTAAACGCCTCAATTGTTAAGATTTCCATCGGAAAATTTAAAAGTAATTGCCTACTTGTCTTAATAAGTACAATATTTAACTTCTAAAATGATATCAACCTGGGATAAGCCTAGAAGCCCCATCAAATTCACATCTGTTACAACTTCAACTGCTTTTAGGTAAAATAAATTGAAATAAACAAGGCGTTACTAGGTAATAGGTACCAAAGAATGCTAATTTCAAAAAAATACACTTTCACTGAAAGAAATGTTTGTCATTCAAGGGCCACAAAATCAATCGCAATTCTCAGGGAATTTCCATTTCTCCAAATTTCCCTCCCCTCCATTCAACAACAAATGTTCAAAATTTATATGAATTTTTGACAATTCTGTAGATTTTAAATTACTTTTAATATAAGCACTAATTTAATTTCTTTCAGAACAGAAGTAATCTAATTTAGCAAACTTGGCTTGGCAATAAATCGCTGTTAACATGGAAAGCGTAACACTTAGACAAAATAAGTTAAACGGTTTATCATTGCCAGCGAAAACCAAAATCTCTAAAAAAATCAAATTGTCGATGGAGTCTTCTCGGTTCCTTACAGGTAGAAATAGGCATACTTTTGATGTTCTCAGCAAAATTTCGTTCTGCCTGAACATTGAGTTAATGGAGCTGTTAAGTACTCTAAAATTGCTAGATATCTCCTATAAAATGCCAGAATAGCTTGAAGACAACTTGCAAGCCTTAACTCTAACTTAGTAGAGCTCCAATGAATTTGAATCAGGCAATACGTTGACTTATTATGTCTCACTTCACTTCACTTTACATTCTGCACTCCGCCATCAATATCATCGCATTCCTTAAAGACCTGACGAAGTGGAATGACAATCTTAAAGAATCTTATCAATGTTCTAAAGAAATCAGACCTTTACTTTCAGATCGATAAAGCGTCATAAAATTACCACATTGGACATATATGTTTGCATCAAAATTATATGGACACTCATAGGGCTTTTAATAACTTGAGGCAAGTTTCAATCAGCGAAAAGGGTGATTTGTTGAGTCATACAAACGTGATTTTAATTTTTCATTCTGAATTTTTTAGACATGCATTTAGTCCGAACTAGAAAGGATTGAAAAATATGAGATTGGCGTATTTTTCCGAAATAGTAAAAATTCAGGACAAATGCTTTTGACTTATTTTAAAATAAATTAATCGAATAAACTGTTATATGAAATAAAACTTTATCCAGTGTCATTTATAGATTAACCTCTAACCAAGCTCCAATTACCGAACTATCTCAGACAAAGGCCCTGAATACAAAAAGGCACAATGTTTAGCTGACTTCGGGCTTCACAGTAAGAAGGAACATCAAAGCGCGAACAAATCTAGAAGGGAAATAGAATAGGGATTCACACATGTAAAGGAGACAGACAGACAGGCGGACAGACAGAAACAAAGGCAGAGGAAAAGTATGATGAGTATCGTGGAAGTGGTCGAATATGACATACAGTTGGGTCATGGTAATTTGAAGTAGGAAGTCAACTGCTGGTTAATAAACATTTTGCCGAATGAGTGTACGTTACCAGTATGCCCCACGTGGAGTTAAGTCAATCGCACACCAGATAGGCACAATATAACTAAACGAATACTGTGGTGATTTCCTATTTGAATTCACTCGACCTATCGCAATTGGCTAGTTCAAAGTTCTCCTTCAATTAAAACCACAAACAGAATATTCGAGATGAAGAGATTTGTGAATTAAATTAATTTATTACTATTAAAACCTTATGGCAAATCTTAAAATATCGAATTGGCCAAGGCGTTATACGATTCATGAGATATTTGTCAAAGGGGAAGCGAAGATGAATGGGAGATTTTAGACACGAAACCTAATTTCTATTTGGATTCAACTACGACGCAGCCTCATCAACCTTTTAATTAATTTCCTTCAAATGTTTGATTGACACTTTCTAGACATGATAACTAAGGTGAAATTGTAGCGCATGTAATGGTTACCAAATGCGAATATCAACATTCTTTGGTCAACATATTAAGCCTGCAAAATTTAAAGTCATCCTATAGCGGGCATTAACTAGAAAGATATTTGTCTTAAGGCAACTCAGTAACGTTTTGCTAACTTTCACTTTTTCTCATAACATTACGTCCAGTATTTCCTAAATTAACTTTATTCCTTTGATTCAACCAAGTGAACCAATATTTCAACGTACACTTTTCATGAACAGTGGCCATGCTAAAAGCTCATTGTGGTATCATCGGAATAATCAGTTATCTTAATGTACCCTAATTTATACGGCCTCGAATTTTATTACTCTTGCATAACCTAGCAACGCACGAGAACAACAGTCATATTATGGCGACAGATAAAAAAGGACACACTTAATTGGGGTCATTGAGCAACCAAGGCTTTGTTTCGATACATCGTGCTGTGACCTTGCATCGGCAGATATGGTAGATATGCCATCAATCTCGCTTGTTAAAGGCAAAGCTTCTCAATTGACTGTATCTGTCTGACCTTAAATAAATTCTAACTGATTGAGACGCATATAATTACTAAATTTCTTCTTATTGATATTAGTATTATTATTATTAGTATTGAGCAAAACTCTTAAGAGATCGAATTCATACTCAGTGTCATTCATTGAATAGCCACAATTAAATATGCTTCACAGATGTATCTTCAAATAAGAATTGCTTGAAAGCAATAAGAAATTGTCTTTATAGTTCCGTAACTCAATCCTACTCTAATTCTATTCATCCAAATAACCATGGCTATCTAATCCATGGATTATGCAATTTTCCTATTGATGGAGTAATTAGAATTCATTTGAACCATTCATATTAATAAGAATCATACAAAAAACGTCATTTGGATAAAAGATGTAACTTAGTCAACAATTGCATTTGGTAGAATCTCAACTACAAGTGTACCTGCGCAGAAATCGGTGAAGACATTTGAATTCAAGAACAAATATTACCGTTAGTTTGTGTTAAGGTGTATCCGATTGTAGAAATATGCATGCATCCCAATCGATCTGATTGAAATATTGAACTAAGATGTCTGTTGCATTCCAAGAACCCACTGAACGAAATAGAAATTCCTACCCAAAATTCATCCTCCAAATCCCCTTGTGAACATATTTGAAAAGTGAACCCATCAATATCATTCACCAATTTCTATAAGCCTTTAAACGCAAATGGCCTTAATTGAATTCACTCGCCGAACTTTGCGAATTCGAAGCATAAAAAAGACTACAAAAGAATGAAGTAAAATAAGTGTAAACACTTTAATGCAAAAGGTTAAAAATCGAACAATATATCAACTGTCTTCCATATGCATCCCACGTAGACGGTCTTCAATATTGGTCATTTCTCCATTGAACGTGTCAGACGATGGAAAGCTACCAATTACAGAGTTATTAATGTCCATTTGAATTTGACTCGCTGAAATAGGTGTTGATTCAGAGGTAATGTTGTTCGGCGCACTTTCGGAAATCGAAAGGTTATCAAGTTGAGCAGTTATTGATAGATCTTGCGCATGCATAGTTCTTGATTCATTCGCCACTAAATCAGATACCGTTTCCCCATCATCAGAATTTTCCTCATTTTGATGAGAAACCTTTCGAGGTTGAGATAAATTTCGTAAATGAATGAGTCTTTCATGAAGGAATCGTGCAAAATCCATTTGTTTTTCAATTATTGGCTTATATCTTCGATGTGCTGATAAAAAACGCAAACACCTAAAATTGGTTGAACATATAATGCGTCTATTTCGTTGCAAGGCTCTCTTTGCTTGAAATTTGCACCGTTTACGAACATTTAACTGCTTTTGTAGTTGGTCCAATATCCGTTCAAATTCAACTTGTGGTATCGCTTGGGTCTGTAAAAGTACATCCGTTTTAGCACCAAATGTTTTCTGCGTATCCCGTTCACTTCGTTTCCTTTCCATTGTCGGAGTGATTGAGAAGCGTGCAACGCAGGTTAATATCGGGCACGTGTATTCAAATTGTGTAATCGAATATTCAGCGACTTAAAACAAAACAATTCATTCAAACTCTAAGCAACTTATATTGCCTTTTGTTATTGAATTAAAAGCAAAAAAATATATTTTAGTAATTAAAAACATATATTCTTTTTCGTAATATTAATTATTCTTTCTAATAATGAATTTTAATAATAATAATTAATTTTATTTTCAATCAGTGACTTTCGTTTAATAAATGTTACATGAACGAATATATATGCTGCTGGAAAGGTTTGACTTATAAATGTCACTAATCTCAACATCGTTTTCAAATTTCAGTCACAAAGCCATTGAAAGTTAGCATTCTTAAAGGTATGTGCAAAGTCTTTCCTTAATCTCAGAGATCTCCTTGCCTTGTAATATGTTGGGAACAAGAGGCATTGGGCATAAATTAGGAGCGAGGAGTCACAGAGATACGCCCATGAGAAACACAGAATCTCCGGACATAAGTCCTGGCATCGTTGCTGGTTGGAAACTGTGCAATAAATTTTACTGCTCATTATACAATTTAGAAATCATAATTGACAGGGTTCAATTCAAGTTGTATTTAAAGCCTTGTTACAATGATTTGCTTCCGACGGTTCTCAACTGGCAGTCCGTCTGTCTCTTCTCGACTTAATTTCAGTAAATGCTAGCTTACTTTTGATGCGCATCTATTCATTGAGGATGTCGTATTTTACGGATGCCTATTGGGAATCAGAAATGTGGTAGTGTGGCCTGATCTGATTAATAATCAGGTTTCTCGTATATTTGGTTGATTGGTCACTCAACATTCAGCCGTGTACTTATATTTGACGGCCTTGGGTCAGGGCCAACTTCTAGCATACTTTATGAAGGCATGCTTCTAGTGTACTCTCACTTACTGCAGGTGGCAGCCTGAGAGACCACACAAAAGTTTAAGTTTGAGAAGAACATTCTCAAATCTACCGGAAGCTTATAGGGCCTCAGGGTCAACCATTGTCTTACCAACATGTCTCCTATATTTGAAAAACTTTACCAGACGAGTATAGCCATCTTTAATGATGTGAAGCCATAGTACCAATCGCGGTAGAGACGGACTTTTCATCCTCTGTAGAAAAGAAGAGTCTCACTAAAATGAGATTGTCACTAATTTTCAACTTAAATCAAACTCACTTATAATTTAGTAGGTTGGCAACTAAGTCATTGTCGATTTCAAATAAGAAGGCAAATTCGGAATTTTGTTTAAAAATATAACTTTATTCAATTAGATATTGGCCGTTCTTGTCGATGACCTTTTTCCATCGTTCTGGCAGAGTAAAAATTCCCCATTCGTAAAATGTCTGGTCTTTGCTATTAAAAAACTGAATTAGGTGTGATCCGACATCATCCGCGTTGTTAAATATTTTACCATTTAAAGAGTTTTGCATGGAACGAAACAAATGGTAATCCGAGTGCGCAAGGTCAGGGCTATATGGTGGGTGTGACAAAACATCCCAACCCAGTTCCAATAATTTTTGCCGAGTAACCAAAGATGTGTGGGGCCTTGCGTTATCATGATGGAAAACAACACCCTTCCGATTTGATAATGCCGGCCGCTTATCACCAATTGCATCCTTCAGTTTTTCGAGTTCTTCAACATACACATTTGAATTTATCGTTTGGTTCTGCGGCATGAGTTCAAAATACAAAATTCCTTTGTGATCCCCCCACCAGACTGACAGCATAATCTTTTTTTGTGAATCTCTGCTTTTCATACTGTTTGGGCTGGTTGATCTTGCTTCACCCATGATCTCTTGCGAGTAACATTGTTATAAACTATCCACGTTTCGTCGCCAGTAACTAGGTTCTTCAGAAATGGATCATTCTCATTGCGTTTCAGTAGCGGCGAATCACAGATGCTAATCCGTTGCGTCAAATGAATTTCCTTTAACTGGTGAGGGATCCATAAATCAAGTTTCTTGACATAACCAAGGGTTTTAATTTTTTTTTCAATGCATGTATGCGACACATTGAGCTTCTCTGCAATATCTCGTGTTGTGCTGTGACGATTTGAATCGATAATGGCCTTGATATGGGTTTCATCCACTTCGACTGGGCGGCCAGATCGTTGTGAATTTTTCAGTGAAAAATCACCGGAACGAAATCTTTCAAACCAATTTCGACACTGTCTTTCTTCCTCACGGCTTCATCTCCATATACGGTACATAACTTCTTTTGTGCTTGTGATGCGATCTTGCCTTTTCGGAAGTAATACAATAAAATGTGTCGGAAGTGCACGTCCTCTTCTTTCATTTTTAAATTGAGATAAAAGCAAAACTAAAGAACTAAACAAAAAATTTTTTTGCTAATTAACCTAGAAGCCCATACAGTAAGAAAAAATATAGGTTAGATGCTCTGGCCACGTTAACAAAACAGAAGAAAGTATAGAGTGAATCTGTCAACATAAACGGCAATGACTTAGTTGCCAACCCATTATTACCAAAAATTAAATAGTGTAAAACCGCGACTGTCATACGGTAATGTGATAGGCACTGCTATTTAAATTGACATTTATATTCTGATTTATGAATTACTTATGCTAATAAATAAAATTGCCAATTTGCATATTTGGGTTGCCAAATTCAAATTCATTTAAAAATCGATGGGCTCGTCACAGTCCGCATCCACGTGTAAGGAAAACAAGAAGGGTATTGTCGTAGAAAACGCTCCCAAAATAATTAATTATGATGAACCTGTGCGCCAATTTCTTTGCTTTTACTTCTTTCGCAAACGTCGGGGACCGAGTGAGAAGGAGAGGGCTGAACTTGAGAGAATAGTGAACGAGGAGAATGAGACAGAAGTTGATCCCAAACGTCAGGCGAAAGCCCTCAAATTTGCTCGAATTCTCTACTTCAATGAAGACGTCTCGAAAGCGGAGAAGAAGAATGAAGCTGATAGAAAAGCACTTGAACTTGAGAGAAAGCCTATTCCCATCCAATTCCGCATGTATGATTGGGGAAATCCAGCACCAGTCGACTTCACTGAACGTGTCATGAGACAGGAGGATCGAATCGCTCTTTGTGTCGCTCTTCAGAACTTTGATAAGTAAAGCGTTCATTTTCTCAAATTCGGTTTTTTGCATGTTTCACTTGATTTCATATGAAACCCATTTTGAAGCTCATAAGATTTGACGAAGTTGCAACACACCCTTTCTAGAGGGCATAAAGATGCCTTTTCATTTTGAGCAATAAGTAGGAATCACTTTGACCAATTTCTTAGCACTGATACATTCTCCCCATGTTCACTGCTTACTTTGAACAGCTCTCGTTCCGGCTTGAGAAGTTTCTCGTTTTTAGGACATTACCAATTCATCTGAAGTAATGTAATTGGTGGTTCGCATTCATTAGATTTACTACGGGTGCTCTTATTCTCCCTCTCTCCTCTCTCTCTTCAGGTAATTAATTTAAACTTCCAAGTAAAACTTTGATAAAAAACCTACTGAAGTGTTCTCCAGTATCAGCCCTTCCATACTCATGGATTACCCTTAACTTTGAGTCCCAATGAAACACCATCATTGATTTATAAGCCCACGATGGTAATAGTTGACGTAGACGTCGATTATTAATGACGCGTTGATCCATTAGGAAAACAACTGCGTAGTGGTTTTCATATCGAATTGAACATCAATTAAAGTTCTTGCCAAAAATGCCTCCATTTCCAGCTTCAAAGTCTCAAAGTGAGAAAAAAAGGTTTGAAGGCGGTCTGGGACCACGATGGTACTTGTTGACGCAGACGTCGATTATTAATGAAACGTTGATCCATTAGAAAGACAACTGCATAGCCGTTTTCATGTCGAGTCGAACATCCGATTGCCTGGTTCACTGAAAGCATGCAAATTGCTTCACAAAAACGTTGGCCACCGCTTCGATTTCCAAAACGTTTCTCAAGATAGTTCAACTTCTCCTTCATCTGCCAAGTAAAATTAGAAAGTAGCATAATCCTATTTCGCAAGTCAGCTTCATATTAGAATGCCTATCTGGTTTGCCTATGCTTCGTCGAATCCCATCGAAACCACACGTAAAGTAACTTTTGCACAAGAACTTAGAACCTCGCCATATCGAGTAAAATATAACTCCCAGGTCATTAATAATATCTTCAAATGGTAAATTCTAGTACTAAAAAGGATCACTATATGTTAGCAAAGATTGCAATCTCTATACTAGTTAATAAATCTACACAGAAGTTCGATAAGAGGACTCCAGCTATTTACTGTTAACACATTCAAGTCCCTTCTGCATAAATAGGTAGAATATTTGCTCAGAGAGTAAGATAGCACTTACAAAGGCAGAATAAACGTTTGGATATGGAAGACCGATGATGACCACAGCTCGAGCAAGGTTATCAGTGAATTTAATTTCTTCAGACAATTTCCCCCCAATAGCACAGGCAATACAAGCTCCCCACTTTTTAGAAACCACCTTCGTGTAGGCCTGCACTATCTCTGCCAGAGCAGTAGCTGTCCGTAGTTCCTTGAACACCGCTTTCACTGCTTGTAGACGCGCAAATAGACCAGTGGATTTCCATGATTCCATACCATCGCAAGATGTTCAAAGGAAGGGAATAATACTGCTACCCCACCTGTTGAGAAAGCAGAATTTATTGATTCACTTGATGAAATCTAGTGGCGTGTACATGTGCAAGAGTACAGTACCTGGAATAAGTTTGCAAATTTCTATCAAGAATTCACCGCATTCACTAATAGGCCGGGGATCATTTCGATTCTAAATAAAAAAAATAATTGCCTACTTAAGCGTTATTAGTAGATATTAAATCTGCAAAATTGAAGAAACCTTAAATGTGAAATCCCACGTGATATTGTTAGGTGATTCCGAAGTCGTGTAAATCGTCAATTGACTGGTGGTATCAATGACGTATCCGCAGGAGAAATACTTGATCGATGAATTCATCAAATGGTTTCATTGTCCCGCCGACAAGAATAACACTTCGCGCCTGCTTTATAGCATCTGTAGGGGAAGGG